TTGAGAAAGTAGCGAATAATACAAATACACCCGATACCTACCCTACACTGTATGAATGGCGCGAGTGCGGGTGTACTGCTCACTGGTGGCGAAGCATTTGCAGGGTCAGAACTGAAGATGCCGGCAGCGAAGAACGGCGAAACGTTTGGATGCGACCAGTTACAGATAGGGTTACCATATCTATTTCATGACAGACCCGGAGATATGACCAGTTTGTATTCGATGTCAAAAAAAAGGACGGAATCAGGAAATATCTACTTCGTGAACAGCAGGGCGAGCTAAATATCAGTAGATGCCGTGGGTGCATTAAAACCACAATTTTTGTATTATTATATTCAGTAAGTCTAAATATTTTTCAGAATTTAATATTTTAAGATTAATATAACATTGGTAAAATAATTTTTTTATTATACATGTAGATGCAAATAAGTACATACATATAAATGAAATCATTTATTTAATCCTATTATTGTAGTTATGGTTCCTAAAGATCAAATTTTTATAAAACATAAATTTTACAATCTATGAAAAAAAACTAATTTATCTGCAACTACCTATTTTATCGTTAAAATTAGTGTGCACTGGCACCAAAACTAATAAATAAATACGACCGTTATGATATAGACAGTGCCATACTAATAAGTGGACTGTCAGCGTGAGCTGCAATTCAATGGCGTGTCAAGCAGGTCAACCGAGACATGCGTGAGCCGCAGAATGCCCCCCACGTTCATGTCACGTTAGTGTACTGTTGCCTTTGTTATAGTGATAGTGCGGATGTTGCGTAATTAATTCCTATCCGTTGTTGTTTATGGTGGTGTATTGTAGACGATTTAATTTGTTGCTTTTTAATAAACAATGCGGACGCCTATGTCCCGCGGCTCAGATCTGACAGCCCTACTAATAAGTCATTTTTTTTAGGTAAATAAAGGTCTAGCAAAATATATTATCAGCGGATGCGCAAAGCAAAGTCAATTAATAAAACAATAATTGTTCCATTAATATTAAGATTATTATTATTAAATGAACTGAAATTTAAGCAATACAATAACTAANAGTATTTAAGAACAACTAATACCTACATGTTTCGTAAAGATACACTAATGTGCTTAAAACTTACAAAAAACGGTATCAAAGAATATTCTTAAATTCAAATAAAGTGAATATTTAACATTAGTCGTGTTACTCCTAATGCTCATGCTCGGAAAGAATAGCCTCATATGCATATCTTGTTGATATGTTATCGCTATCATCATTAACGTATTTTCTCTTGTTTTGTTTAATCTTGGCATTTTCTAGTTCTACTAAGTATTTTTATTGTTTTTCTTAATGTTGTACTGTGTCAGTGTGTTTATCGAGTGTTTTTTTCTTTAGGTGGTTTATTATAAACGTACTCTTAACCACAACCAAATTTTTCTTGAATGATCTCGTGTTGCGAGACTACTTCGTTTACATAAAATTATCTTTAATGCGCATGCTCAGCAACATTGATATAATTTTAATTTATTAACTATAAAAATCTATATTGTTCTATAAATTTAAATATATAAATTCTATAATAATTCTATTAGTTTGTCACTTTGGGTCTGAAACTTCTTAAATATTTCTAATATTACCAGAATATCCCGATATTTAAGGTCATTACAAAGAACCCATTTTTTGGCACTTAAGTCCAAAGCACATAAGGTCGAAAATCGATCTAGTAAAAATATTGAGAAATTCTTCATGGCAATATTCACTATGTGGTTGTCTATTATTTGACGTATGTGACGTCACTATTAAAAAGGTCTAAAATATAGAATTATGTAAGAAAATAAATAAGTTTATTAGATAGGTACATGATGAATTAATTTATAAATCGGGTTGAGTGAGGTGGAAGAACATGTCGTTCATGATAGTATAGAAGGCAATAAACAAAAAGCGAAGAAAATAAAATCAATTTAAGGGTAGTTAGGTATGTAATTATGTTGGTAATACTTAAATTAAAAAATTAAGGTATAAATTTTAACACCTCGTATCTCCGAAACGGGGTACTTTCGGACATGTTTATATATTAAATATATAAACAAAGCATAGCTTATAAAACCGATGGTACACATCGATCTCCAGTTTTGCCATTTACTATCAAAATAACCAAAAATTTCCAAATGTTCTTTTAGAAATTGAAATACGAATACGTAGGTATCTAGGAATACTTGCGTATCTAATTNGTATTTCAAAAAATCGCCACTATTCGCTCTAGCCGGGCACAACTGACAATAATTTTTTTTTATAAAAAAAAGTTTATTATATAATTATTTATTATAGTGGTTTCTGCAGTTTATTTGATAATATAAAAAAATATGCTATAAAATATCTGTAAGAGACCAATCCGATAATAATGTCCACGATTAAGGAAGGACTCTTATCGAGTATAATTTTGAAACATTTTTACTAAATATCAACACAAGATAAATTAATAGAAGAATTAGTGCAGGTTTAAACAGATTATGAAATAAAACTCAAGAGATACATTTATTTATTTATTTATTTATTAAAATATACACTATACCATAACAGTTTCACCAAAGCACTAGCATAACACAAAATAAAATGAGAATATTTTTGAGGTTAGTTTGGTTTGACTTTTTACCGCTCGGTGCTCACCGTTCACACCTTTCTTGGTTCCTTTCAACCAATCAAAACCCGTAAAGTAAACGCATGCGTATGAATACGCTGGTACGTCGCCCCACTTTTCGGCTTCAAGTCAATTGCAAAATGATCAGTATAGAATAGAAGTATGTGATTAATTTATAAATCGGGTTGAGTGAGGTGGAAGAACATGTCGTTCATGATAGTATAGAAGGCAATAAACAAAAAGCGAAGAAAATAAAATCAATTTAAGGGTAGGTAGGTATGTAATTATGTTGGTAATTCTTAAATTAAAAAATTAAGGTATAAATTTTAACACCTCGTATCTCCGAAATGGGGTACTTTCGGACATGTTTATATATTAAATATATAAACAAAGCATAACTTATAAAACCGATGGTACACATCGATCTTCAGTTTTGTCATTTACTATCAAAATAACCAAAAATTTCCTAATGTTATTTTAGAAATTGAAATTCGAACACGTAGGTATCTAAGAATACTTGCGTATCTAATTTATCCACTGGCTTAAAAAATTTTAAAGGGACTATGGTGGATATAAAATCTACTTTTATATGTCTCAAACTGGATTATTTATATTGCACTACTTATTTAAAATGAGTCAGAACTCAGAATTAGTGAATTCGATCCCGGCCCTTATTTCTAATCCCGAGATTTCGGGATTATGCTTAGTCAATTCCGGGATCCCGACATTATTTCGGTATTGAGGGTTACAAATAAAAAATAAGAAAATCTTACAGAAATCAGCTTTTTAATCAACAAATCAAAATTTAAACAAAAATCAACGTAATCAAAATTTAGACAAGAATCAACGTATTTTACTAAACATCTAGCTAATCTAATCACTCTAACTAATTAGACTTTAGAGTCAGACTAACCCAGACTTAAAATCACTCAGTCTTTATGTTAAAGTTATTTTTTTTCAAGAATCACTTCGATCTCTTTAAGCTTACTCTTACATAAATTGAAAAAACCTTTAAGATGTAACAAACTATGCAAACAAGCTTTGAAAATTAACAAAAACATCGACTAAATAGACGACTTTCGTGTAACAACCCAATAAGTAAAGTAAGTTTCTTAGTAAAAAGTTTTTAAAACTGATATTCAAAATTCAAAAATCCAAAAAGAAATCACCAAGTAACCCAGTGAGAATTGCTTGCCTATCATTTTATTTCAAAATTCAAAGTTTTATTCCATGCAAGCATCGCAAGCCCGCTGGGTTAATTTGTGCTGCTTGCTTGGAATAAAACTTCTTGTATTTTATATTAAATGATTCACGCAGTCTATTTTGTAACTTTTTTAAGATGTCAATCCCGAAGATCTCGGTATCAGGAAAACTTAATCCCGAAAATTTCGGGACTGAAAAACGGTCGGGTTCCTCGGATCCCGATTGTCAAATCCTCTAGTCAGAATATAATATTAAACTAACGGTAATAATACAGAAATAAGTAGGTACCTATGTAAAATATGTAGTGAGGCACCACAAATGCAGCAGATGCTAAAAATGTGTCTTGATGTAAACGGCGGCTGGTAAAAATTAAAGTGGTTGTATTTTTATAGGCATAGGCGTACCGGTTTTCGGAGATTTCTATAAGCCCACAGAAAACTTCCGCGATGAAAAAAATTTGGAGTGAAATTTGCGAAATAAATTAAAATAGGAGGGTGCCAACCTTTGGATCTCGAAAACGGTTGCACGTATGTATATGTACAAAATATATATTTCTTAAATTAGGTAATTTGGTAATTAATAAGTATAATTAGGTGTTTCAACATTTTTTTCGCAAAATTTTCATTTATTTAATGTACTTACAGAATTATTTGAGAAAATAAAATTTGAGATTTGAAATTTTTGAGATAGGTATAGGTACCTACTTAGGATGCCAGTATCAAATTAAAAATTAAATAGGAATAGGTAGGTACTTAATGAAAAAAAATATTTTGTAAATAAAAAGAAACATCTATAACAGTTCTGTTGTTTGTTGATTATGATAAAAATATGTATCTATTTTGCACATGTACCTACATAGGTACACACCTTTATACACTTGTAACCCTTTTTAAGATCTCAGGGTAGACACGCCTATTTTAATTTCTTCGCAAATTTCGTTCGAAATTTTTTCATCACGAAAGTTCTCTTTACGGAAATCATCTCGTAAAAAATTCTATAGGTCCCATGCTTCTTCATAAAAATATGACCATTCCAATTTTCACTAGCGGCAGCTGCTTCGTGTTTTGTTTATAGCTTACAATGTGCAGATATTCTCCAAATGCAGCGCACGCGCAATTTACTGACTCTAAAAATAAAAAGGCATTAATAAATTCACCAACTAAACACACAGCGGACAAAACAATTCTGTCTTCGTTGTCCGTGTACTTAATTTACTACGACGTATGATACGACGGTGACGGTTCGTAAAAGTAAACTATAACTTGTTTTCTGTGAGCTGTGAATACTAATTTTGTTAATGAACTTCATGATAAGTGAAATTGAAGTGTTTGTGCCAGTATGTCGGATTATACCACAAATTTTCCGCCTCAGACGTATTCTTCATCGTTTTATATTAACTCACTAGTTGATGTAAGTTTATAGGTTATGTAGTAGGATGTAAACATAAACCCTAAATTTGTTTATTGTTTATTACAGTAGGTAGCTGAAGATCATTGCACTTTTGATACGCTTATTTGTAAATATTTCAATAAATTAAAGCTATTGTAGATACCATATTTATAATTTGGCAAACAAAAGCAATAAATAGGTAGGTACATATTATTAAAAAATGTTTACAGTGAACTTAAATTGAGAATATCCTAAAAAAATTTTTTGGTTTTTTATAAGTAATTCCNTGTAAATATTTCAATAAATTAAAGCTATTGTAGATACCATATTTATAATTTGGCAAACAAAAGCAATAAATAGGTAGGTACATATTATTAAAAAATGTTATAATACAGTGAACTTAAATTGAGAATATCCTAAAAAATTTTTTGGTTTTTTATAAGTAATTTCTTAAAATTTTATCGTGTAAATGAAAATATCTAGGATCTATATCTAATATAAAATGTTGTCTAAGTGTGTGTGTATGTATCATCTGCATTATCTACAAGTAAATTAAATTTTAATATCGAAGCAGGTTTAGGTATGTTTAGGTAAAAAATGCTAGGTTTTTATTGTATTCAAAATTTTTAATTGATAGGTATTAGGTAGGAATCGGAAGACAGTAGTTCGTTAGCGTTATTTTAAAGGATACAAAATAGCGGACCAAAATGTGAATATTATAAGTTAAGTATGTATAGAACAAACTGAAGGCTATTTTGAACATTAAATGAAGTTGCACGCCTGCACATTATTTGTCTCAAATTTAACAAAAGGTGTAGCAGGCCAAACTGAACAGCAGCATGTTACTTATTAATATGTGTAAAAGTATTATCTAATTATAATTATAAAAATAATTTATTAGAGAATAATTATTTAATTTAATTTTTTTAAACACATAATTTATATACAAACGGGTGATAGCGGACGATTTTATATAGGAAAACAATTGTTTGAATTCAGAGTGAGCGAATTTTTCATTACCAATTTACGTTGGATGTTGTAACAGTATATTAAATATTATAGACGTTAAAAGTTAATGAATACGCTGCATACCTATATTTGCTCTTTATTTGCAAAGGGTGCATTCTAGCAATACCCAACAAGAAGCGTTTTCGAGATGCCAGTATTGAGTATTGTTGTTCTTACTCATCTGTTAGATTTGAAGTAGCTTAAAAGAAAAAGATAGATACAGAGATTACAAAGTTTACATATCCTGGAGAGTATATATACCTCTGTATGTAAAAAAATTATTACCTGCACGTAAGGTAACTGCACCATTAGTTGACATGGTAAGAAGGATAATTCTGGTTTTATTTAAATAAAGTCATTTGTTTTAAATTTGTACATTTATGTATTAAAATATTAATAAATACTAGTTTTCTTAACATACATAAGTACTTATGTATGTCTGTATAAATAATTGAAGCTATACAGCAGGGGTCGGCAAGTAATTTTAGGTGGGGTCCGGATACTTTTGAAAATTTTTAACGAGGTCCAGAAAAAAAATTCACATTTCTTATTTTTTATTTTAATTTGGACTCAAATTTAATCTGCTTACTAATTAAGAACTCGAAACACTCACACAATTGTAAAATACTAGAAAAAATGATAAGATTGGCACTTAAACGTAAAAAACATTTTTTAAATCATTTATTTGAGCAATTTATACTTTAAAAAAAAATTTGGCGGTCCAGTATTTTACCTTCCGCGGTCCGGACCTGGACCGCGGTCCGCCAGTTGCCGACCCTTGCTATACAGTGATGACGCGTGGGTTGGAACAAATTCATTTAAATTCAGGGGTTTGGTTTTTGGAAAAACGCTCTGATATGTCGATTTTGGTTGCGGTTTTTCTGATGGCAAATTTATGTATACAGGGCGGCCCAAAACTAAGTTACGACAATCAACTTTAATATTTTAAATGGAATCGCCTATTTTTTATTTCTTAATTCTGCAGTGTTCTAAGTATGTTTCATGTACAGGGTGATTCATTATATTTTGACCCTTTCTTTAACTTTTTTGTTTTAAGAGTTATAAAAAAATGTGAAATATAAATGTTGCACGAGTTTTTATGAATTTTTCGAAAATGACAGTAGAAAAACAAATTAAGTCCAAACAAAATGACCGCGGATGTTAACTTTGTTAAGTTAAATGGAACACCCTGTATATTTTTACATATTTGGCTAGAACGTTCCCTGTAGAGTATGGCCATATAGGGTTTGTTGGGTTCATCTCTAACAATAAGCAAGGTACTTCTAAAAATCGAAAAGAAAGTTTTTTATTAAGAAAATAAGACATCTTGTAATTGTTAAACCTTTTTCAGGCATTTCTGCCTTTTTTCAATTACGTAAGGATTTACAGATTTAGTTATAATATATTTTGACAGATCGATCATTGATATGGTCCAATGTATGTAGATATTGTAATCTCACTAATTAGGCCGTGAGAGGCCTAATTACTCATGGACAATGTTATGTGGTAGGCCGTGACAGTGACAGGTAATGTCATGAGAACATTGTTATTGATTGACAGTTTTGTATTATTCTTTAATTAAAATGGGTTACTCAGAAGTAGAAAATTGAAATATTATTAGGAATTAAAATAGAGTATGGAAATAACTTGTTTGACAGTTTGTATTATTCTCATATATTGAAATTTGACAGTTCCGTTCGCGTTATTTAATTAAAATGGGTTATACAGAAGTAGAAAATTTAAATATTACAGGAATTAAAATAGAGCAAAGTTCTCGGCAAAGTTCTTCTTTATACTCTATTTTAATTCTAAATAATTTTCTACTTCTGTGTAACCTATTTTAATTAAATAGTAATGCATACTGTCAATCAATAACAATGTTATCAAGACATTACTATCTGTCACTGTCACGACCTACCATATAATGTCTAAGAGTAATTAGACCTCACACGGCCTAATTAGTGTTATTTCGTTACATTACCTATACGCATTTGGGACCGTACCATTGTCCGATCTGTCAAAATATATTATAACTCATCTGTAAATCCTTACGTAATTGAAAAAAAGGCAGAAATGCCTGAAAGAGTTCTAACAATTACAAGATGTATTATTTTCTTAATAAAAAAACCTTCTTTTCGTTTAATGCTTTTGCTTATTGTTGGAGATAAACCCAGCAAACCCTATATGGCTATGCTCTACAGGTAACGTTCTATCCAAATATGTAAAAATATATAGGGTGTTCCATTTAACTTAACAAAGTTAACATCCACGGCCATTTTGTTTGGACTTCATTTGTTTTTCTACTATCATTTTAGAAAAATTCATAAAAAATCGTGCAACTTTTATATTTAACATTTTTTTATAACTCTTAAAACAAAAAAGTTAAAGGGTGGTCAAAATATAGTGAATCACCCTGTATTTACCATGTCCTATACCTAAATTCAACAGTTATCGAGAAATTTGGGATTTATTTATTTATTTATTTATTTATTTATTTATTTATTAATAAGACAGAAAAAAAATCAAATTAAATGTTCAAATTGTTGACCACACAGGAAGAGAAAAAACATCAAAATACCGGGTGTTTCATGAAGTTCTCCCGGCACTAACAGAGGATGTTCCTTGGGTTATTTCTAGAAAAAAAGTTTATATAAACATGTGTCCGATTTGCTTTACTTTGTGAGCTACATGAATTTTAAATTTAAATGTAAAAAGTAATAATCAAATTTGCTGCGTCTCGGCGCGCTACGCATTGGTCAAGTGTGCTCTGACGACATTTGCAAGGTAAAATGTTATCTAGATTACTGTCAGTTTTGACAAGCTTGCAGTTTAGTGTGAAGATTCAATTTTGCAAATTCGCGAACAATGCCTTTTAAGTTTACGACTGCTGAGTATGCCGATATGGTGTTTGTTTTGGGTAATTGCGATGGAAATGCTACTCTAGCTTCACTGGAATATCAACGGCGTTTCCCAAATCGTCGCATTCCATCCCCGAAAACGTTTACCACAACTTTTCATGCACTCAGAGAAACTGGTTCACTTCCAAGTGTTCGCATTCACTACGAACGGGTAAGTCAGCAGAGTGTTGTAGAAGAAGAGAATATCCTTGCTATGGCCGAGCGTAATCCCGGTGTTAGTACACGACGGATATCCANACAATTTTCCAGATTTGGATAGGAAAGTATGCGGAACGAATAAATATTTACGAATTTTACCATTATTTATCAATATTTACCCGAATATTGACGAATATTTACTAAAATTTTCAAATATTTACTAATATTTTCTAATATTTACGAATATTTACTAATATTTACAAATATTTACTAATATTTACGAATATTTACAAATATTTACTAGTATTTACTAGCATTTACTAATATTTACGAATATTTACAAATATTTACGATATTTACATCACTTGTACACCATATTTACTAAGTGGTTTACCCCTCGCTTTTAATACATGTTGCTGCAAAACAGGTACATACAAAAGCAACAGATTGTATAATAAAAACATAATTTTTACGAACTAATGCTAAAGAAACATCCATTTAACACCTTTTTTTTAATACGTAATCTATTTCCAATTTTTGAATTTTTTTTTTTAATATAAAGATAATTTTCTCCTTATACGGGCAAAAGTGGATGTCCTAACCTATTGGTAAATTCCAATTCTTGCAAAACCCATTACTCCTAAAGCAGAATAATTATTGGAATTATTTGATAAATCACATTACTATATCTGTTATTTTCAAAAAAAAAATATTTATACACAATTTTATTTATTTTACACAATGCTCTCTAGTTCCGTAACTTAACGAATGGAAATAAGTATGTTATGTAACAATAATTGCTTGTATTCAAAGGCCGGATTACTAAAGTAATTTCTTATTGTCTGCATAATTATTTATTTGTGGCATTATTTAGTGGTTACACTTTTTCTTAAATTGGGATTGTTTCCATACAAAAAAGAAAAACAAACATTTCGCTATTTTTAAACAATTTTAAAC